AGGGAAAGAATGGAACTATCAAAACAAACTTCAGTGACAAAGAGGTCAACGGACCCGTGGAAATCGGTAGACCCGGTGGAAACTGGTGAACGACAAACGGTCGAATGACACGACAATGCAGGGATCGTGATCGAAATCCTGGTACCTGGGGATGATAAACTGCCGCGTTCTTGCCGTACGAATTGCCATCTGTTCGGATGCCCGGGGTCGGCGGCGAGAACTCAGCCTGCAGGTTCCTCGGGTTGATCGCGATCTCCGGGCCAGTCTGGGTCTTCCTAGTTCCCTGGGGACCGGCGGCGGGTCCCAGGCTCGGGGCCTTCACCATCGTCGGCCGCACCCCGTCGGATCCCGGACTTTCCTCGGTGGTCCTGGTGGCACGCGCGAGGAAACAGAGGGTGGACGGCGCGATGTCACGTCACGCACGGTGGATGATCACGCGCGCAGAGAGAACAACCGATGCGAGAAACACGCTGGCCGCCGGTTTTATCGATCCTGTCCTTCTCTATTTTTTTTGTTCCTTCCTCGGCAAACTCTCTCTCTCCGTGCCACCCTTGGTTTCCCACTGTGTGTGTGTTTGTGTGAGAGCGTGTATGTGTGTGTGTGTGTTGTATGTGTGCGTGTGTGTGTGTGTGGCGCGCGGTTAGGGGCGGATGGAGGGGAACGCGACGACGAAAGAAACAGAACCCCTTGGTCCTGACGGCGTAGGACCTGGGAGTACACCCGAAAAGGTGGCACTCACCACCCAGCGTCCTCGTCGACTATCTCGACGCAGCTCCGTTCCATCCCTCGCGCGTACATCGTCTCGCTCCGCCGACCTACCCCGACCACCCCAGTCGACGCCAGCGCCGCCGCGGGCCGACGCAGAACCATCTAGAGATTCTGCTTTGACGGGAGGAGGTCTCGTCGACCAGATGTTCAACAGCGAAGCGCGAGATCCTTAAGGGAAGCTCTGACGCATAGTGCGAATCGTAGAATTCGCAGTATTTACGTATTACCTTTGTGTGATACCTTTATTTTTGACAAATGTATCAATACGAATTGCGATGACAAGGGTGTTAACAGTAAGAAAATATTAACCCTCCGCTGGCAACGTGATTTTTTACCAACGTGGCCGGCAATAGGAACCTTTCGTGATTAGTCTTGATTCTTCATTGTTCCGAGTTTTGTGGAAAGTAAAAATGTTGAGATACTTGTTTGTAGGTCTTAATTTAATATACGAATAAAATGTTAGTATAATTTTCATATTAGTTTGCAACGAAAATTGAGGATCGCGGTGAATCGTAGGGAGATGAGATTTTCGAAAGTCCTTTGATGGTCCGTATTGCCGACGGAAGGTTAATGTGTTATGATATTAAATGAATACGAACCCAGGCTTAAACCAAGCGGCTGATCATGTAATTGTATGTACAAGTATATTAGTAAGTTACGAATTTTTTTAAATGTTACCCTATGAAACTACTATAATCGTGTTCACTCGATTTTAGTCACCTTTAATCTGGAACCCAAAAGTAATGGGTTATCCTATAAATTATCGTTTATACGTCTTTTAATGTCCAAAATTGAAATAAACAAACACTTTCTTTCTCGACTTAATAAACAATAGATAATAAAGGAGAATATACTTTATATATAACACTAGAACTACTGAGTTTAACACAATTAATATCTAATTCTTATCAAAATTGTAATAATGTCTGTTCATGTATTCGTTAGACTATTCAGTTGAAGGTATTTATTTTTAAAATCATCCCGGAAATTCACAGTTTTATGCTGTCAATAACTGAGAAATAGGACAATTAAATCCGTTTAACGTCTACAATAGTTCTAGTGTTAAAAGAAACTTTCGTTTATCTTAGTTTCTAAAAATAAAAGAATTTTCAGAAAACTGTACTATTTGTGAGATTGTATTGCGATGGAAAAAAAATGATTTTGCAATTTTTTCCTCTTAATCCGACTATCTAGAGCAGCGCGCAGCTGCGCCGGAGAGGGACGCTGCACCGCCGCCAGGGACAATTTCATTCCGCTAATGAATGATGCGTGAATGTTTTCATTAATCCCGCGCCGGCGGTGGCGGCGGGTAGGACGCCGGTGATGTTTCGTTTACGCGAGTCGTTTCACCGCAGACACGAAATTTAATAATCGCCGACGACACCCTTATCCGCGCCGGTTTATGTTTTACAGCGGCGGCTCCATTATCTGGATGTCCCACCCACTCGATCGGTTTATTCTTCGGGCGGCGTGCGGATTCATGATTGCGAAAGCGGATGGAATTGTACGGAATGGTTCGAGTTAGCTGCAGCCGCGAGCGTGTGGGGTGGTTGATTGCGCGTGCATCCGTGGGATCGCTGGTGGAGTCGAACTTCGACTCAACCCTTTAACACGTTGACCGCTACGGTAGTCACCAATGCCCGCAGCTTTTGCATTACTTAACCAGTAAGCTGTTTTTGACGAGTATACTCGTCATGAATAAATGGTGAGGCTTTATGTTATGACGAGTATACAAAAACAACTAACTGGTTAAGGGAATATTCACCTTCGAAAGAAGCAATTTTATAGGTATACATTACTTGAATGAAAATTTTTGAGAAAATTCTTTGTAGATGTCAATACGTACACGTACCAGAATAAGGTAAGTATATACTTTTCAAAGAGATCGCAACAGCTAACTGATTAAAAATGATCAGAAGAAAAGAACTAATGTTAATCTGACTTGAAAGATTATTAATTAGACGTTCTAATGCCATTTCTCTTTGTTGTAAACGATTAAGTAATATTATGCGTAATGCTGAAAATTTTCGTGACAATCAACGTGTTAACTCTGCATTCGATAATATCCTTCCTTTATAAATATTTATTATTTCCTGTTGAAATATTGATAATACCGTTTGCACCTGACATAAAGCAGAATTTTATGTGAATTTAGGGTGAAAACTATTTTATTTCTATGGATCACATGTTGATACTTAATATAAAATTTAAAATTGATTTTTGCAGTTTATAATTCCTTTGTACTGAGAGTTAACCCTTCGCACTTGACAATATCTGTACCTTATAAATATTCATTATTTTCTGTTGAAATATTGATGATACTATATTGGGAAACGCGTGGAAAATGAAGTGTATCCTGAGAGATTGTTGAGAGATTATGGGAATTTCGGAAGATTGTTATCTAGATTGATGTTTTGTAGGATGAAAAATTTTCAGATTCGATAGATAGATAGATAGATAGATAGATAGATAGATAGATAGATAGATAGATAGATAGGTGAATAGATAAGTTCTTTATTGATTCTCTGTTGGGTCACAGTATCATCGTACGAACACTCTTGCTCGTTTTAAAAATACATTTTCTTTAAGCTATACATAAATAACATAAATAAACATCTATACGATGAATTAAATATTAATAGTGCTTCACATTTTCATTTTCAGTATTAGATAGAAAAATACACGAGATAAATTTTAATACATGCTTGTAATTGATACATGAGGATACATAACATAACTTCAGTGACACAGGTCAGTGATAATCATAATATTATGAATATATATTGTTATATAGATAAATTGTGTATAATTGTGTATTGTGTAGACAAATTGTAAATAATAAACAACCCCACTAAATATAAGTATATTATCTTATTTGTTTCATAAATTATTGGAACCATAAATCCATAATAAAAGCAATTTCTCAGATTTAAAAATTAAGTCGTGTCTTTTCACGCAATTAATTATAATTACATTTCAAGTTTTAACAATTTCCCATTATTTTGAAATTTTGATTGAAAGTACTAGTGAATATTTCCATAGCACCAAAGTTTTCACAAGAATTTTACGCGAGATTTACAATCTCTCATACCACATACGTTTATTTCAGAAAGTTATTGAATTCATTTTTACATATAATAGACATAAACTAAAAATCTTGCTTCATTCCAACGTGTTAGATTCGCGATGAAAAATTTTAGACTGAATTTAACAAGTATAAATATTACTCAATTCTTTTGAATTCAAATTAAATATTATTTTTCTGCTATCGGTTATTACACTTGACAGCAAACATAGGCATAAAATATCCACAGCATTTTTCTCGTTTTTCAATAAATTAATAATTACAAAATAATTGTACCTATCATAGTTAAGGAATAACTCATAAGGAAAAGGGTTAACACTAGAACAACCGTACTCGTCAAAATGGCTGACTTCACTTTTCTTGTTTCACAATTATTGATGTTGTAAAAGCGTTAAATATCCGAAATGATTTGAGAAGTAAATAGTATCACATAAATATTATAACAAATATATAATGAAACAAAAATATATATTGTTACAATTTTTATAAGAATTACATATAGTCGTGTTAAAGGCTCGGTTATTCTAGTGTTAAGTAATGCAATAATATAAGTGACACTAGAATATACAGTATCGCATACAGAAACACCAATCATGCTGGAAGACTGCCCGTAAAAGGTATCAAATTATATCATCTAGACTCGCGACGATACAGCTGGATGTTCCTAAACGTTTACGTCAAAGGTCGTCACAGTGGAGAAGAGGACGGAACGATTTGAAGGCAGATCGTTTGCGAGAAGGGGTCGTCGGATGGGGAGAGTTACCAGATTAGGGAAAGGATGAATGGTAGTGGTAGACGCATGGAAGAAATTGAGACAAGCGACCGCAGTGGCCATTAGGTTTGCCAACAAAGTCATGAAAAGAAGAAAGGGGGAAGGGATAGATGAGGAAAAAGATCATAGATAGGGGTTACGAACCTTGCTTGCATCGATATGTCAGCAGCTTCTATGCCATTGTTTAATAATATTTATACCGAAGATGTCAAAAAACATTTTCAAAAACATTATTTTCTAAATTGAATCATCTTTCCTCCATTGTTCTTTTCGACATTTGTTATAATAATTATAAGATCAATAGAGACCGCTAAATTATATAGTAAATTAGCAAACAAGAAAGTTAGGTACTGATGTTTCATTATTTATACAATTAAACTGTTTGACCTGCATCTTTCGACTTTAAACCTTATTTTTCTTATTTAATTTACTAGTTTATTTTACATATTTAAGATACAATATTTATTGATATTTCATTGTTTATAAAATTCTGTAAATTTTTTTATTACAACTGTCGATTTTGGTGAACCTTATTTTTTTCATTCAATTTACTAGTTTATTTGACATATTTAAGACAGTGTGTTATTTTTTTAATGCTTTGGGCGTACCTTTCGAATATAAATGTGAAAAGTTCTAGTCGAATTTGTAGGGTTGATGGAACTCTCTTCCCAATTGAAAGATATTTACGGTTCATCAACGACTGCCAACAGTGGGGATGAAAGTGGAAACACGACCCTTGACGAGGCGTAGCTCGCCGCTTTTCGAGCTTGGCGCAATTACCGGCGGGATCGAAGTATAATTTCAGATATTCCATTCGCCATGCCAAGCACTCCCCAGGTGCAATGATCGAGAACGATGAGGTAATTGTTGTATATCGGTAGGAATTGACGTCGATCTTTAGGGGTGGAGATATTAACCCTTGAACGCCGGCTTCATGAGCAACGGTGGTTGAATCAATTCTGACTCACACGTTTTATAGTTTTACCACTATACTGGTGTTCATAGATGTAGAAGGATTGAGGCAGCAACCCCTTATCTCGTATATGAAATATAATTAACGAGTTATTCATTTATGATTTATATGTGGCAGAAATAGTCAATCGTTTAAATTATTAAAACTACTGAATACATTGTTAATTTGTGTTTATATGTTGATATTTATTAATTTCATACTGTATCAATTTTATTATAATCACGAAACAAATTTCGGCCCATAGGGGGTTAAATCGATAAAATATATGTATTGTATATTATCTCGATTCCTCTCATTAGACTAATTCTCCAACTTTGTCAATCAATGCTCGAGTCGATCCCTGGGAGAAAAATGGTATCCTACTCGAAGAGAAGTAACGAAGATCGCAAATTCTGTTATAGGATAAAAAGACCATCCGCTTTTGGAGAGTAAAATGATATACTGCATGAATTTCCATACTCTTACGTGAATTTCAATTGTTCAATGTAATGTTTACAATTATTAAAAAAGGAAACGTCAAATACTCAAAATTTTCAGTGAAAGTAATTGTATGGATTCCGACGTTTCATATTCTTGTGCATTTCACTTTGTGTACATGAACATTAGCAGGAGATAACATATAATAAACATGATTCGCAAAATTAATATATTGAACGTTATAAATAACTCTTTGTTTCTATTGTCCTAAAGCGACAGAGCAACAAAAGAGTAATGCTTTATAATGTTGCATTCTAAAGCTTAATATATTGCGATGCAACATTATCTTATCATTAGGCTTTATCAGAGAAATAACAGTTACATATAGGTTTTTATGATCGTCAACCAATAATAAAGAAGGATTAATTTCCTCGGAAAATCTAAAAGTAATTGATATAACTTTTTAATAGAAAAACCACTAATTAAACTATCTTTACTTGCACATATAAAATTATCATTTATATAATTTATCTTCTTCATACATTGAAAGGAATGTTTTGTTGACCTACGTGGAAATTAAAAGTACTGTCTCAAAACTTTAAAAAATATTGTTTGATTCAGAACTTTTGTTTATTATACTGTGACTACGAGTGTTACCATTTTTTACCACTTTGAAACACTTTTACCTAAATGAAATAGTTTATCATAAAAATTAACAATTTATTTCTTCGGTGTTGGTTGTTTGCCTGTAATGTCTAACATGGGATTAACCCCTTGCCTTACAATAACGTGTCAGACTCGTGGTGAAAATTTTAAACAGGGTGTAGCAACCGTAAACGTTACACATTTCTTTTGAATTCAAATTAAATATTATTCTTCTGAAATCAATTATTATACTACAACCAACTATGAGGATAGAATATGCCTATAAATTTTCTCTCCTTTTTACTAAATTATTAATAACAAAGTAGTTGTATCCATCAGAGTTAAGAAATAAATCATAGGGCAAGGGGTTAACTTCCTTTCATTTATATTTGTTCTTTTACTTGTAATTTGCCATAATCATTGCAAATAAACGATATTGAAGTAATCACCTTTAGTGTTTCTGGTTTTACGATAAGTGGTCAACTGCTACCTAACATGTGGTCAATTACTAGTTTTCTCACTTTAAACGATGGTCAACTTCCGACGCAAATTGAATTCTCAAAAATGTCTATAGAATTTTGATAATATGACTATTTCAAAAAAGTTCGCTTTGTTGTATAATGTAAGAAGTTCAAACCGCGTTTTCACGCATAGAATCTATCTATTTAATAAAGGGGCAAATGTTTCCTCTTAATTACGCAGAATATTTTTCTTAATTGGTCAACTATTGGTGCTATCTATATTCCCAATAAAGTGGTAATGATTATACACTTATCGATGCTACTGTATATGTGTTTTGATACATTGTCAGATAAAGATCATAGATATGCATAATCAACAACGGAAATCTGCTTGATGAATTGAAAAAAAAATTTGTATTTACATTTCCTGGAATTCTTAATATGTTAACAATAGTACATTGTGCCGCGTAAAAACTTATCTCCTTCCATTTGCACACACATGCTTCGCATCTTCGTATCAGAAAATGGCGTATCTACTTTCTTTAAAATGCCTTTATAACTTTGAAAGCATTTTTTAAAGTAAATTATTTTAATTAATTTAATTTAAACTTCATTTTAATTACAGCTTTTTATTATAAATATAACACTTTGTCATCTTGAATTTCGAGAATACAAAAAATGTGAAAGTATCTAACCGAAAATATTGAATTTATATGAAGTATATAAACCCTTTGCACTTCGAATCTCCTTTAAACACTTTCTACAATAACCCTACATTTCAAGTGCTTTATCTGAAACTTATTTCAATAGACAATTGCTTGACACAAACTAATACGAACAATTTTTGTACCAATTCCTTTTAATAATTGAAAATATGAAATATTGAATTCACAAATATGAAGTGCTTCGACGTAGTAATGCCTGCGAATGGAAGTATGTAATATCTAGTTACACTGAACAAAGGAGTACAAATAATTAAGGAGGCCATAAATTATTGATATCTTAATTAAAACAAAGTTTGATTGTTTTGAGCCATCATGGTGATATAGCTCTTTAACAACTTGTGGACGGACACTGGCTGATTGCAACACACGTTATCAACCTATCAGATCGGAAAAGAGTGTTTAAATGACTATGAATCAGATGTGATTCTTAGTGTACTTGCGATAGCGACGATCTCCAAGGTCATGTTGCATCCAAGCAGTATTGTTTACGTTGGTACCAGTGTAACGTTCATAACGTTTTTACCGATCATTTTATATGTATTACAATAAAGTGGATAGGTGAATTCGTTGAGTGAATATTACTCCTCCAGGTGAATTTAAACTTACGTTCATCCTGTTAAATGTCCGGACTAAATAACTTCTAAAGAGTAAGTAATAATTACAATGCCAACCATCATGATCGATAAATGTGTAGTGGATCAATGAATGAGATTCTGTCATCTGTTAAGTAAGAATTTCTCAATAATTACACCGGTCAACACGATTTTTATTGAAGACGGTTTAATGGGCAATCTTAATAGTGTTTCTTGTGCTGAATTCAATTTTTTAACTTTGAACAGGTTTCTAGGTCTTATTTATGAACATTTTTCAAACTTTTCTGGCACAGTGTTATTCTATGGACCTTCATGAACACAACTATGTAAATTTTAATGCCATTCTTTTAATAACATTCTGTGGCACATTTTGTTTTCAATTAGGAGTGATAAATGCTTGCGTCAAACGTAAGGTATGTATATATCGACAGTGATGCCAACTGTCAATCTGATTGCACAGTGCTGCCGCAGCCAGTCAATTTATACGCGTTGACATTATAAGCATCAGTGACGATGTATTATGTTTCGCGCGAGCATTTTTCGCTTTCAAACGAAAACGAAATGTGTTACGGATATTTTTGAATGGATTTCGAAAAGTAGGTGTCTGCTTTATCGCATACTGAAATTAGATTTTCTCTTAAACGTCTTAGTTTTTAAGATAAATTGAAAAACATTCCACAAAAGTGAACGCGTTTCGGGTGCTTCTTTACCTTTCACCATTGCTTTAACATGTTTAAATATGTATAATGTCATTAAAATTTACATAACTGCATCCAGGATGGTCCATAGAATAATACTACGGAAGGAAAGTTTGAAAAATGTTCTTAATAAAGATATAGAAAATGTTTAAAGTTGAAAAATTGAGTTTCTCTTTAAAATTGATTTTTTCGAAAACTGTGGACGGTGGAGAAAAACGGATTTCATATTCCAATTTAACATGAGAAACACTATTAAAATCACCCATTAAACATTCTGTAACCAAAAAGAAGTGAAATTTTGTAGACCAGTGTTATTATTTGCTTGAATGTGTATGTACACATAACGTAAACTGTCAGGTAGCCGCTTTTTTTATTGAACATTCAGTATTTCGAATTGTGGGATCACATGTCACGTGTTACACTTAAGAAAACTTGAAGTAACAGGTGTATGTTGTTTAAAAAGAGGTAACCAATAACCAAAAAGTAATTATTCAATTGCATATCCATCGTGTTTCCATAAGCTGTCCACAAAACACAGCAAATTTTCTTCGAGCAAATCGCTTCGTATTTTAACACTTTACTTAACGGCAGATTATTATTATATTATTTCTCAACATTCGAGCCATACTTCGAAAGAATTTAGTAATTTTCCTTTAAATGATAAGTTTAAAAATTTGTCGCGTTTGAAGAAGACTTACTGGCACGCTATTGAACCGAATTCTGATTACTACTAGAAGGTATATTAACCCTTTACACTCGGAAGTTTTTCACTAGAAATATTAAACACTTTTTGATGACATATAGACAACATTCCTTAAAATTAATTAACGATGAAACATACGTAAATTAAGAAACAAACTATTTTATTTCCACACTTTACAAATGAATGTATTAAAGAAAGCTTAATATTATATATAACACTATAAGTTTGCTATAACAGATCAAGTCATTAACAGTCATCTATCGAGTGCAAAGATTAATAGATTCTTTGTCGCGCCATTTTTGAGATGTTATTGCCACACCACGTATAAGGAAAATTTCAAAAATTTCCATTAGCTGCAAATGTATTTCTTAATATTATAAAGATTGAGAGTACAATTTCATATCTTCAGAAGTAGTGGAGATAATCAACTGTTAATTACTACAAAAACACGCTATATAGTCTGTAACTTTTGCAGTTTTTCTCAAGTAGTCGCAATCAGGCGGATCTCTTTCTCTTACTATCGACACGTCTCTTCGCATTGAATAATTTGCTTCTGATTGTTTTGCATTTGTCACTAAAGAATTTCGAAACAGATGTTTGGAATGTTATATTTAGAGAAAGTCCATTCCTTAAAAACAATTTTTTATCATGCCTATTTCTTACGCCTTCAAGTGTACGTTCCTCCCTCTGTCAATGACCAATACTTTATTTCGTAAGAAAACATATAATATCTTTTTCCTACTGGTTCTCCATGTCGCATGTTCGGTATGTAATTTTGACAACATTTTGTGACAACTTTTCACTTTAAATAATCAGTCGTATTTTTAACGAAGAAAAGCAACACCATTCCTGGTATTAATACCGAGTTCAACAATATGTTCAGGGAAACAAAAGAATAAAAGAAATAATAACAGTTATACACAGAAGCATATTGTGAATCGTAACTGAAACAAAAATGTCAGTAATAAATAGAGAATAATAATTACTGCTTTATTAATGACCATCGTTTATGCGACTTACTAATGACATACATTTATTGCGCTGTAACGGTTTCAGTCCCGAAGATCCCTGATTAAATATCGAATTCAATGATTTGATGTATTTCCTTTTTCTGTCTTACGTCAGGTTGTACTGTATATTTAGTGCACGTCTAGCAGTTACTTACTGTGGGAAAACAATCGGAATATCAAAATGTCGGGGGAGAAACAGTCAGACGACGTAGAGTCAACGAAATGGACTGGGAAAGTTCTGGGGTCAGCAAAAAGTGGAATATCGATGCAAACAAGATTCCAAAGAATGCCTGATAGCCTTCTGCCACCAACCAGGGATTCAGTGTGTGGTATTCTTGACATGAATCTAGGAAAAGTAAAAGCAGGACAACCTGCAGGTAAGTTTCGAAAGGTATCCTCGTTCGGAAGCAAAAATAGGAAGAGGTTCTTTAACGTTTTTTATGAAAACGGTATAAACCCAGGCTAGAGAAAATATAAATAATTATTTACTTTAAGGACAATCATACCGATCACTTTAATCATTACATACGTTATCAAGCAGTTAATTGCGGACGGCGAATCCTGAAAATTTTAAGGATATTCATTTGACAGTAAGAAACTCTTTCGGTGCGTCGAATCAGGATACCGACTTAAATGATAATTTATTTTTAATTAAAAATAAAATGAACCTCTTCAACATTAGAACTACCGAGCATGTAATATGATTCATATGTAATCTCCATAACAGTGTAACAACAGATTATTTTATTTTCTTCATTCATTATAGTATTCAAGAAAAATGATTTATTTTCAAAATGTTTTCGAATATTCAATACTTTGAAGACGTCAATAATTGAGAAACAAAAAACCGAAACCAATCATTTTCACTAGTAGTTCTAGTGTTAACGTGTAGTGATACATACGAAAGTAACACCGATTTCCAAAATAATATACACAGGAGCTCCTATAATACGCTTCGACAAGGGGATGAGAACTGGCGAACCTCACATTAACATCGACCCAAAAGGCTTTTCTCATAAATCAAATCCTCACATCAAAGTCTCCAAAAGTACAATTGGCATTGCCAAAACTGTTAACACGAGTTTGAAGTATGCAGGTGCGGCACTAACTGTGGCTGCTGTTGCAGTCGACGCGTGGCGTTTCGGTAAAGCAATTGCAAATGATATCGAGATAACGAAAAATGCGCCCAAGATAATTGCAGAATTAATGGATAGCATCGCAAAGTTGAAAAAAGTGCTCAAAGTGGAAGAAGACCCGAATAAGAGAGAAGAAATTCAGAAGGCTATAGAATATTTAGAGGCGGTTTTGAAAGATGTGCGGCGAACACAGAAAGGTGTCCCAGCCAAAACAATTAAAGAAGGTTCGTCAATTGTCGGCGGATGGACTGCTGGTGCGGCGGGTGGTGCTGCTGGTGCATGGGCTGGCGCGGGCACTGGGGCTGCAATTGGTTCTCTCTTTGGTCCAGTTGGTACAGTAGTAGGTGCGCCCGTCGGTGCTATAGTAGGTGCAATTGGACTTGGAATCGGTGCCGGAGTGGCAGGTAGTACAGCTGGGGAATACGTAGCTGATAAAAGTATGGAACTTTTAGTTGATTAATTCTAATACATTTTCTTCCGTATCTTTTGTATTTTGTACCTGTTGTGTAAACATGAACAAATAAAATATCATCAAAATATAAGTCAAATTAATTTTCTTTTACTAAAGGCTAGGTTCAAAGTAGATGGCATTAAAAATTCTAGAGTGCCCTCAACAAATCTTTTGCCTTTCCCTGTATCGTTTCCGATTAATACAACGAGACGTATTTGCAAACTGCAGAAATACCAATTGCTATCGTACGAGCTCTTTAATTGAAAATAGAAAATATTCAGTTTATGAATATTAAATGTTCTTAATTATTATTATCCTAACGCGAATAAGTAAAATAGTATCAATATACAGATCAAAATAATTTTCTTTTACTAAACACTATGTCCTAAGAGGATAGTCTGATAAAGTTTATAGAAAGTCTTCAACAAATCTTTTGCTTTTTCTTACCCCTTTACCGTTAATACAATAAGAACTATAAACATCAGAATTACCAACTGCCAGTACACCGTACGGGCTCGGTAGTTGAAGGGTTAGTAAACGAACCATTCAGTGTCCGAACAAAGCTGCTTCTAACGAAAGGTATTTTTTTCTTTTACAAATATATAGTAAGTACTTAAGCATATGAAATGTATATTTTTCTTCGACTAAGTACGTAAATCGTGATTGTATTTCAATTGGTTTAATTCAATTAAATTGTTTCCTTTGCCACACAATTTCATTGGCAATCATCCTTTTTGAAGTATCATATCTATCAACCTTAAGAATGAACTAAAAAATAAGGAATTCTATGTTCATTGTAAATCTATATTTGTTATAAAAATTTAGTGTCCACAAGAAAGAAAAAGTAATAAATAAATTTTATTACATGCAGCTTCAAAATCTTTATGATATATCCCATTCGATATTATAAACCGAGGAGAAATAACAAATATATAATGTTATACGTGTATTTACTTATAAAAATAAATTTGTACAATTTAGCATTAAAATAAGTGTGTAATTCATAAATATGTGACTTAAACTATTAATGAATTATTTAATGCAATTATTTAATTAATTATTTAATTTACTATTCAAAATATTTCTGGTTTCGTTAGAAATTTGAGCTCTTTCATTTTTACGTCACCTTTTATGTTTCTCAATTCTAATAAATCATGACTCCCTGTATTTCCAAAACCGAAAGGTTTGCTTTTGTGTCTGTTTCAGAATATCGAAATTATTTAAACCAACCGCTCAACAGAAACTATACAAAATTAATGTGTTTTAAGATGGCGCTTGGCCTGAATAACAAGCACTATATAGAAACACTATATTAAATTGCAAACTGCCTCCCCTTATGCTAGTGACTCTTGTCCAGCTTCCCCCACTACCTTCACTCTAGGAGCTAATCGAGAATATGTATGTGGCAGCTCTATGTAGTGTTTAAACATAGGTATGGAGAGAGTAATTCTTAGATAGGGGAAACTCACTATGGAGATTGCGAACTCCCAGTTTGACGTCTCTGCGTTGAGGGACGCGAATAATGTAGTACTTGTGATTTGAATTATAGTTCCATTCATAAATTGTGAATTTGTTCAATGAAAGGTGTACGTAGTTTATCAACTATATATCAAGATATCATAGTATTTAATCATGCCGGTTTTTCAAGAATCATGTGCAGAGGTAACGCTTTAAACTATATATTGTTCATGAATATTTTAACTTTTTTAAAATGAGTGTACTAAATGCTTTCTGATTTTTCAGCAAATCCAAGCACAAACCATTGTTATAATTCATCCTGGCTCTATGTACCTTAGAATGGGTCGTGCATCTGACTTGAACCCTTATACCATATTAAATGCTGTTGCAAGGAGACGTTTGTCTGGGGGAATAGAATATAAAGACAGTTTACTACCACCCGCAGTCCCACGAGTAAGTTCTTTCATGATAGATTTATTTATAAACAACTTTAATTCTTGTTGCCTTTAGTAGACAAAAGAGTTGACCCAAGCAATGGAAGAATCACGTCTTCAAGTGTCTCATACTTTACAATCTTGTCTTCAATCTGATGGAAGAAGAAGATATGCTACGCCGCCACAACAAATAGCTGCCTTTAATCGCAGATCAAATCCAGAAATATCTTCTCCATGCAGTGTAGAATGGATTAAAACAAACAAAGATGTAGTGGTTGGGGATGATATATTATCTTTAAATCCAGACGATAATTTCAATGTTCATTTCCCATATAGAAGAGGAGAACTTAATGTTCATTCAGGGCCTGGTGGTAGCTTGCGAGCTGTTATGGCTGATTTGAAAACAATTTGGGAATATGTGCTCACAGAAAAGATGGATATTCCTTTAAGAGATCTGAAGCACTATAAAGCTGTTCTTATAATACCAGACATTTATAACAGACAGTACTTGAAGGAATTGACAACCTTAATGCTTTGCGATATTGGATTTGGAGCATGTTTCCTTCTTCAGGTCTATATACAAAATAAATTGAAACATCAGAAGAAGTTAAATGGTTTGTGTTTACAATAATTTCAATTTTTTCTGTAGGACCATGTAGCAGCTACATTTGGCGCAGGCTTAGGTTATGCTTGTGTAGTTGATGTTGGAGATCAAAAGACATCGGTTTCTTGTGTAGAAGATGGAATTTCTCATAGAAACACAAGAGTGCGTATGGATTATGGAGGAGGAGATATAACACAAACATTCTTTTGGTTGCTTCAGAAATGTGCTTTTCCTTATAAGGCATGTGACCTATCAAATAAACTGGATGCGTTATTATTGAATCAACTTAAAAAAGACTTTTGCCACGTTGATCTAAATGTATGTGGTTCACAAGAAAAAACCTTTGTTGTTAGAAAACCTAAACAACAAACAGAGAAATATACACTTCAGGTATTAATTTATGTAATTTGCATCATAATCCAAATTTGAAAATATTAAGCAATTTAATTGGTCATTTTTTCTAGGTGGGTGACGAGTGTTTAGTGGCACCTCTTAGTTTGTTTCAGCCAGAATTATTCAAAGTTACTGGCACACATAATGTGCACATACAAAAGAGATCAATGGGTGACCCAGAAGATCCGCACGATGAAAATTATTTAAGAGAGACAAGTGTAAGTACACCAAGTACCTTTGTTAATTTTTGTTCAGTATGAGAGGTTTTATTGCTTCTACAGAGGAGAGGCATAAAAGAAAATCTAGAACAAACATCAGAAATGCAAGAAGAAGCAACTGTTCCAACAGCAGGGGGAGAAGAAGAAGTGGTGGTAGATGCTGTGGATTCAGCTCCAATCACCTTATCTAATCGTGATTTAGATGCTCCTCGGGATTTTGTGGTTGGTCCCCAACAGCTATTAGGTCTTGATCATGCTGTGTTACAAAGCATCGATCGCTGTCGTATGTACTTTAACCACTGTAATAGCTCATTAAAGCAGGTTAATGTACTTTTATTATATTTTACAGCTACAGAGGACTTGAAAAGGAAAATGTATAGCTGCGTGCTCGTTGTAGGTTCAGGAATGAAATTCCAAGGTATTGGAATGTGGCTTCACAATCGGATCTCACTTCAAATTCCTTATATGTATAGAGCTGGTAGGTTTATTGACGTTTCTTCAAGAAATACATTAAAAAATTACCAATGTTTCCCAAATTTTTACAGAGCAATTAGATATTATAACGCAACCTAAAGAAATGGATCCAGGCATGACAGCATGGAAAGGTGCTGCAATTTTGAGCTGTTTAGAATCTGCTCAAGAATTGTGGATTGGACAGCAAGAATGGGAATACATAGGCGTTAGAGTGTTGAGAGAAAGAGCACCTTTCATGTGGTGAAACTTCTAAGATACAAAATTTATATTTTTTATATTTAAGTTTACATTTATTAAGCTTAATATAAAACTTCAGTGTCACAACATGTCCATTAATTTGACCTTGTTTCTATCATTCCTGTGATACATACCAATATCAGCTTCAATCAAAAAGTTTACAAAGTCTAATACTTCCGAATTGACATCTATATACCTCTTGTCTCCACCTTTTTTATATGCACGTGTTAACTCCTAAAAAGTTATTTCTATAAGATCTGTAGGATATTAAATACTGCTAAAATGTATCTTAATTTTACCGCAAAAAAGCTCCTAATATCTTCATTATTTGGAAACATTACTGAAACTACAGTAGCCTAAAAATATAGGTTCAAACTATAAAATTGTTTAGAGAAAATGTCAGTACATGCATATTTTAACATACCAAATCTTCTTTCACATCTCGAAATATACGTTTCGATATAGTTTGTTCCACGTTAAAAGTTGTATTTGCTGTCAGCTCAGTATGATCTAAATAGGCCTGTTTCATTTTCTCCAGGCCCATTTTTTTGTTTTCCAAACTATAACAGAAATTTTGGACTCTCTGTTATCTATTATCATAGAGTTCGTAAAATATTAATTTGTTTACATACTATGATATATCTTCTTGGATTGTTGATAGACGTTCTTTTAGACTTTCATAAAGTTGTTTGCAATTGTTGACTTCTTCTGCTAAATACTTCATAACATTCACATGTAGGTCAGACGTTCCCGGGATAGGATAATCTCGCGGTTCTTCTTGACTAACTTCTTCCAATAAACTAGTGCACATTCTGTACTGTTTTGTTTTTATTTCCTCAATATCGATATTTTCTGTGAGAGACGTCGGACTCATCTCGGACATTTTGTTTACTAATGCTTCTATTTCTTGCATTCGTTCCATTCTTGTATCCTTTAATGCTTCGAATGCGTCCTCTAAAGTGTATTCCTCCATTCTTTATATTTCACAATATTTAGAAAAAAGTATAAACACAAAATATCTATCACCGGTTCCTTCGAAAACGCGCTGCGTTTAATATATACCATACATATTCTTAGCATTGGTTCAATATTTAAAAACAACGCTACCTAGCGATATAACTCTGTTACAGATACAGACTCGAAACACAGATGTCAACGCTTTCACATTCTAAGAGTTCCTTACACTGTTTTATCACAGATTTTAAATCCGTGATTTTCTTATTGTCTGTTGGAAAACTTCTAAAACAATTTAAATTAGTCTTCAATGTTATTATACATACTTTTATAAAACTAGTCAATTTTAAATGAATTATATTTAAAAATGTCACAGAGCAGAAAACAACAGAAATGATATTGACATATTATGAAAGCGTTTTCAGGAAAAGTATTTTACAGTGTAGAAATAGATATAATTATATTTTGACATTATTAGGTATATATGTACATTTAGGTATACTTAAAAATTGTAATTAATTTTAAATATTAACTGAAAGTGACAGACCTTCTTCCACTTAATATTGTACATTGTAATTAATTAAAAAATATGTTTATATAACATTAATAATTATATTTCATTTTTTATTTTATTACAAATATTATTTAAAACTCAAAGTAACAAACTCAAGCTGCGGTGTCCGAGAGGTTAAGGAGTTGGACTCGAAATCCAATGGGATTATCCCGCATAGGTTCGAATCCTATCCGCAGCGTTCTTTTTTTTCACACACCAATTGTTATACTGAATGTACTTATTTCATTAATCTTATTAGATATACATATGTAATTTTAAATTTAAATAGCACTACATGACAGTTGTCCCCCTTAAAACCATTAAATTGTCTGCGAAGTATTTTCCTTAATCCCTTCAGACCCAGTGCACATTATAATGTACACTGTTTTACTACTTCAATATTCGACAAAATATTTGAACTGTGACAGCCATTCATATACACACTTTTACTTTGAGCCTATTCCTATCAAAAGAGTAGTATAATACTACTATTTTATTTGAAATATCATAATTAATGGCGCATCGAATGGCAGCCCATTGTTGAGATACATGTGAACATAATTTTGTACAAGAATCAGGTCTGAAGGGGTTAAAATCGTTATTTGTGCAATAGTCGAAGTGATTCCAGTTACGTAACTACTACAGATGAATTAATACTTTTGTGAATAACTGTAAATAGGTAAAAGCCGATTTGGCTACTGCTTTCTTTATTCAGTTAAGTTTTATTCTTTTGCTTGATTAGTCAGTTATCCAGCCGGATTAGCGAGTTAACTTGAGATTGGTCCGAATGGAATATACCTTTTTTCTAATCTCAATTTCGATTTTTCAAGTTCTACGAGTTTTAGCTAACTATCGTGCACGCGATCAGAATTAGGTACGAAATGTGCGAATCTTCTCGATTGTACAGTTCGCCTCTTTTGAGCTTAGTCTTGATCATAGGGATAAATACTTATACTTTGATTTATTTATCGAAAGAAGGACTCTTGGAGGTAGTCCGCTTCTGATTTGTATTTTGTATTTTGGTGGGGAACCAATTGCGACGGCAGAACGTCGCAGCGCACTGTGCAATGTTGTCACATCGTGAGACAGCATGGTGTCCTTTTCCTTCCTCTAAACGGGTGTTACTTTCTCGGTGGCACGATAAAGCAGATTTCTACATTTATCGAAGATATTTTACGCCTCGACGTTTAGAACTTTCAACAATATTTTTTATCTCAAAAGATATTAATTATATATACAGTTCGTTCTTCGTTTACATTAATAAGAAAACATTGAACTTTTTCAGAAGATTGTAGTTTCAGTTTAAACATTATTTCTGAACGATATAATGATAAATAAATTTTTATTTTATCTATTTCGTTTCAAAATGAGATGAGAGTCTAATTGGGAGGCCTAGTGCAAGAAGTGGCTAACAAAGCCACAAAATGTTGAAAAATGAGATACAAATGTATTTATTCTGATACCTTTTAACACGTTCGCTACCTGCGTCACATATTTGTGACGGTCGCAATCCTATATTTTATATAAAGAAAATGAAATTAATCCTATAGGTATAGTTAGTTAAAGTTATAAGCTACGAAATTACATTTAGGGATTCAGTGACTCATTTCAGCTTCATTTGTTTCAATAGTTTGTTTAGAAGATTTGTTGAATTGAATAAAATATTATCATTGAGAGTATCTGTTAATGCCTATATGAAAAATGTTAGAAATATTCAAATCGCGCACCGAGGTTCAAAACATTTATTCCTTGTTTGCAATTGATAACGTTTTTCTTGTTTATTTATTAAATGAACTTTATTTAAAACATACTTCATTTGATCAAAGAAGTATAAACTGTATTATGTCAAAGAAATCGTGGGATTAAAATAAAATATTCGTCTTATTGCGAAAGCATCACCATTAAGAACTTTAGTGATAGTCTCAGTATTTACTAATCTATTGACCTCTGACACGTTATGTGACTCATGCAGCATACAAATTATCAGCTAATCACTAAGCGGAGTGTGAGGAACCGTTATTTTTATCACGTTTACTGTGAATTGGAAGCAATACATGTGGAAAAAACAAGAAAATACCCCTATAGATATTATAATGGATTTATTCGATTAACTTATGAAACTGGAAATTGTAATTAATTGAGCACCATAAATCGATAGATCACACATATTCAATATCACTTTGTTATCTTAATTTGATACATAAAACAACATTCATCACCCTGCTCAGTCCGAACTCTCCATTTGAGATCAAACATCCTCTGAAACAGAAACAGAATTATAGGTATTAGTAATGTTACTAAAATTTTAGTATTACTTACAAAATCGGGTGAACAATGTATACTGTACATGCAATTTATTTTTCTGCAAAAGATTAAGTTCTTGCGTTCAAGAATATCTTATTATTATTTTATCGCTATTATGATGAAATACAAAAAGCTAATGATATTCTTAATAAAACTGTAATATTAATAATATAACTTATATATAAACTGTCATTATTTCGTAATTAATTTAGTAAGCAACAAAATACGTGTTATTAGTTAAAATATATTGGACGTTTAATTATTTGTCTTATAAATAGGAAGCATCGTTTGTGTTCTAACTATTTAAATATAATAATGAATCCCTGTTAATTTCTAATGCTGTATATCTCTTAAAACTGTCAATGTCTTTCGTTTACGGAAAATTGTGTTAACGTGAGTTTGCTTACCACGGGGTATTTCTTTAAAATGGGTATTTCCATGTGGAAAACACTTCGTCGACCTGCCTCTACCGGGCAAGTAGTTGACAAACAGGCATTAGGATCCATTCCTAGGAACGGAATATCCGTCAGTTCACTTGCCCAGAAAACTCGAGCATCCATTTCTTCAGCCGAAAAATCTGAAAGAAAACAACTTTTCCATTTTCTTCGATAATGGCATGTAATGGCGCTATAAAATTAAGCTACAACCTGTATAAATTTCTGCATTAGTAGAATACAAATGATATGTATATGTAGTAGATACGAAAAGAATTACATAGACAAGCACGCGAAACTCTGTACATAACATTTTTTCTTTTATATAAATATATATAAATTAATTTTTCATATTTATGAAAATTAATAACTCCACTGCTGGAATAATAATTTTAACTATTTTAACTTTGAAATCATAATCTAAAGCGATGCGGATTTTTGAATTTACTGAATAATTTGTTGATGTCCGAAGTTTTATTATTTTGAAAATCATACTACCTACATAAAAATTACGAGTACATAGAAAGTTTCTGCATGTTTATAGTAAATATCAATCGGAAACTTAATAATGCAAACATAATAAAAGATAAGAAATGTAAAGAACATTGTATATAAGTAGGATAATTCTTGTAGATTTCGTCAGATGAAGTTAAATTAGATTAACATGGAATTCATTGTAAGTATATTTGTCCAACATTAATATTTAATTTATTCAGATTTTAGTGTTATGTGTAAGATAAAATAACAGGCCGGAATCTAATGTAATGTAAGAAATACAGATTTGACATAATTATGATACTCACTAACACGATAAAAGACTTAAGTTAGACTTACTAGGTGTGTAATGAATAGTCATATTTGCGGAAACTCCTCTTCTTAGTTTACATGGTTTTCTCTCTACAGCTTCTCTACATGGTTCTATGTGTACTTCATGTACAGTGCAATTGGATATTACATTAGCTGGAAAAATGTTTCTCATAATGATTACGTTTTATAGACGAATTTGAAGGAAACGATAACACTGTGGAACATGATTTTTGTTTCTAAATAGCCACTAGGTGGTTCTCATAGACTTCCTTACCCTAAATACGAATCCGAAAACCAAATTGCTGGATCACGTCCAGTTTTAGTTGTTTTATAAATTTTCATAGAGTTATGACAAAGCTTTTCACGATTTTATGATATTATGAAAATTTATAAAACAATTAAACCTTATATACACGTATACGAAGTGACCGGGGTCTAGGTCTATACAGCGCGTAGTTACGGCCCTGCATAGCTGTGACTGGCGAGCGATGGCCGTATGGCGCGAAAGTTCCGTGCACGCGCTCTTCGCGGACATTTTCTTACGTATTTAGCGTGAGGAACTCTATAAGAATCACCTAGTGGTAATTGTGAAAAACAAAAAAAGTTCAAATCTGTTCCACAGTGTAATTATGTGAAAATGTGTTTCTGTATTATGCGTTTCATTAAAAATAAAAGCGAAATAGAAACCATCGTGTGGGGGAAAATTTCGGACCATACAGGTGTGTCCTATTTATTTTTATTTCCAATTTGCAACGACTTGATTTTTGTAAAATACTATTGGAAATAATTATTCATCGTTTGTGAGTAGGTGAAATTATTTAAACGTACATATTTGTGAATCAAAATCCGTTATAACGTGAAAACAAAATCAAACAGGACACATGCTTGAGCCATTTATTCGAAAACTGTCTTAAATTAAATTTATATGCATGTGAAAATGAATAGTTTATTAATTTAAATTAATATTTAAAAATTTTGTATTAATAATTGAATTTATATTAGATCGATATTAATATAAATTAAATTCGTGACAAAAAAACCGTTTCAAAATCAAAAGGTAATATGGAATAGTAACTATTATAACCATTAACTTGAATCGTCTGAAAAATGGACTTCATATTTTTTATAAATATTTGCGTCTTTTATCCTTCACAGCTATTTGTTTTCTTATTACGTATTATTTACGTTAAAATACGTTAAAATACGTATTACATTTCTACATAAAACTTAGAAAAATATGTGAAATCGATGTAACAAAAATATGTTATATTTATCTTACGCGTTATACTATGTTTACTGTGTTATATAAGTAATAACCGCATTTTTTTCGTCGCGTTATACTATGTTTACTGTTATATAAGTAATAATCGCATTTTTTTCGTTGCGTTATACGTATTCGCGATACAGAAAAGCCCGTTACAAGAAAATCCACTATACATTACTACTACTGAAACCTAACGCAAGCCCAAAACGTTGAATAATAATCTACCAAAAATTCGCGTTCATGGTTATATTTATTGCCCAAATCGAATTACTTTTAGCCCTTAATAACTGCACACAAATGTGAAAACTTTTACTCCTATTTCTATTGATTAAACTTGTAATAAAAGCCATTCTTTTTAAAGTGGTGTAAGCCTGTTTCTTTCCAAAAATGAGTTAATGGTAGTTTCAGTGAGATATAGACATCCTCTTGTTATATTTATAGTCATACAACCGACAACGGACGATATTCTCATAGATTAATCAAAAGAAGTTTAACTGTGAAGTATTATCGCAAGAATGTTTTCTCTGCAACTGGAATATGTCCATTTGTAGCTAAAAAATCGTTTATTTTCTTTAACAATTTTATTAATTATTATTGCATAATAAAATTCAATAAGCCTATGGTTCTGCAAACATTACCGGAATTGATTAACGTTTGCCAATAATTTAAGTTGATTCAAACGCAAACCCTTAACACTACTACCGTACCAGTCGAAATGACTGACTTCGGTTTTCTTGTATCGCAATTATTGATATCTTCGAAGCATTGAATATTCAAAATGATTTTGAAAATATATAGTTTCACTTGTATACTACAACGAATGTCTAAAGAAACTGAGAATAATCTGTTCTTACAATTTTTATAAGGATTACATATCAGTTGTGTTAAATGCTCGTTAGTTCTAGTGTTAAATATCTCAATGTATGAAAAAATCAATTTATACCACTTTCAAAAAATAAAAAAGAAACGGCTCATATATTTTCTATTCGATCATATATATTAGAAGTCCTATGTCTCTACAATTAACCAACATTCTGTTGTTTTACAGACGAAACATTACTAAACAAAATGAACGACCGTTAAGTGTTAACATTAAAACTACCGAGCAGTTCCATTTACTCTTTCAAATTTCTCTGTAGGAACTCCTGACACTTTAATTGATTTACAATTCAGTTTACGTATTGCTAAATCAATTTCTTTAATAAATTTCAGAGAAACTTCTATTATCTTTTTAATGCTAGGTTTACGGGCATTTATTGTGCGGTTTATTCTACTGTTCCGAGAAAAATGCACGTTCATTCATTCGGATTTTGGAACTTAAATATTTGAGAATAGATAACTAAGGTACATACTAATGCAAATGCATCGCTCAAAGTGGACGTAAACATTTATCAAATGAACCGCTCAGAAGCCAATGCGGTTAAGAAGATTTCTTGATATATTCTGATTTCTGTACATTTTTATAGAAGAAATAATATCCTTTTCAGTTATTAAAGGATTTATTCGCTTCTTCGTTTTTTTTCTAGGCCAGAAAGCCCTTCTTTTTGTAGTCCCTGAATATGTTGTGTAATAATATCAGAAGTAAAAACATTAATTTTCTCGATGCCTGTTTTCTGGTCTCAACCGCATTGGCTTCCGAACAACTCAAATAACGTCTATAAAATTCAATATTCGTCAGATTGAAGCGTTCCGTAAACCTAGTGTTAATAATTGCAAAAAAAGAGAAACCAGGAATTGGCCATCTCGACCTGTCTGGTAGTTTTAGCGTTAAGAGGTAAACGTGCTGGCCAACTTCGTTCTCCCCTTTTCACACTTCATCTCGAATGCACTCTAGAAAGTGGCACTGAACTTCAATTCACCGATCGTCGAATCGTCGATTCGTTCTGTTTCTGTCGAGCACAGGTGAAAAAATGTCGATGCCTCGATACTCACAGTCAGGGTAAGGGCACTCCCGTATCGGCACAACTTCCGCGAAGGCCAAAGTTAAGCCAACGGCCAGGAAGATCAGGACAAGATCACTGTTTCGGTTCATCCTCGATGGATGTTCGTTACGAAGTGAAGAACAGATAGCTCTCGTCGGTTGCTAGAAGGCAAACGTTCGTCGAGGGCAGGAACCAGAGTGGGGCCATAGGTCAATTGAGATTACGTCTTAGTCCCGAGGAAACTGTATGCACCTCGCACATCTACTTTATGGAATCTTGTTGAACATTATATATAGGTCTGGCGACCTATTCTTAGTCCGGTGATTTCGCTCATTGATTATCATCACTTTGTTAACGATTGAATGATCTTTAGATCTCCTAAATAGATTCTCTTCGCCAAGAATGTTGTCTGTAGCAATTTTACATTACAATGATAAAGAATTTTATGACATTGGCATGCACATCGTGACGATTAATCTGTTATCTGTGGAATTTAGTTTGAAGAATCTCTTGTTTCGCGCGCAATAAAATAGAAAAATGAACTGTGCACTCGTCAAACACATGACGAATGTAAATAACTAATAGGGTATATTTTAACACGTTGAATACTATGAGGGTCACCGGTGACCTCCAACCAAATCGAATTACTACAGTTCATTCAATTAAACGATGATTATTTGAAAATATTTCTATATTATAAATGATGATGTCTAATGCGGTGACATTCAGCTAGATGAACATGTAATAATAATAATGAAATTCAATCAAATGATTTAATGTTATATTTTCTTAACTTTGTATAGTTTTCTTTACGACATCGTGCGGCACACGACACGTTAATGAAAAACCAAAGCGAAACAAAGAAAAATTGCACATTTATCTGAAAAAATAAAGAATCTATCGTTGAAAGAATTAGTATCGTTTCAAGCTGTAAGATGACGAATGCAGTTAACTAGTTAAATTCGCGCTTCCGCGAACCTTCGATTACTTTTAGTGTCAACTTTGTTTTTTTGAGTTCATATGGTTGTGTTTCTACAAATGATTGTTTTATAGACTTGACGCAATATCTGTAAAAATATTCCTTATTCTTTTGTATATATCTATATTTACCAAGTGGCAATCTCATAAAAAAAGATTAAATTACTTAATATAATTTAATAAATAATTTAATATAATCTAAGAAAGACGTATACTGCTACATTAATTTTATAATCATTATAGAAAAATTCGAAAAGTCTATTGAGGGAAAAGGATTAGATTTAGAAAATAATTTTATATTAATGTTTATAAAGTTGTTTTTTGACACTTTCGGTAAGCATACTGCTAATGTAACGGAAAAATAAAGTTCAGTGTATGGATGTGCCACAAGAAATCAGTTTTTCGTTTTTCAAAGCACAGAATATAATTATTTATAAAAGTTTTGATTGAAACTTTTGATAATGTTGTACTGAGATAATGAATTTAGAAAAATCCTCGAAAGTAAAACACAGTAGATAATTCCTAAGAGAAAAAGAAAAGCAAGAAATCATTAAATTACATTTATTCAATACTTATATTACTGTTGAATATCCGTCATATATTAATATCTTGTTCCTATTTGTTTGACAATATACAATAGACGCTATCTATTTCAAAATTAACGTTATTACATTCTAAATACATTCTAAGTAAGTTTAATATTTTTAATGTTTTAAATGAGTAAAAACTATTTAATTCAAATTGCAAAGACTACTTATATTTATTTGTGTATTTGTGTCAGCCATTGTAGTTACATAAAATTGTAGGATTTAAATATTTCGCATATATTAACATTGTATTGTCAATAACGATCATTAATAAAACCCAAACGATACAGTCCTTACATTGTAAGAAGAAAAGATTTGTTGTTGAATGAACAGCGGCAACAAATGTAATACGAGTCAATAAAGCTTATTGAACTTAATGCAGTTAGTTGTTTCATATTTAGCTCGTACACAACGAACAGTTAGAAAGCCGTAAATACTCGACGTTAAATATAAAATAAGTTATTTTACCTTACGAAAATTCTAATAGAAATAAGAGACTGATAAATAAAAATAATAATTAAAATGTAATAGTGAAACGTTGAGTATTTATTGCAAAATTAAATATTTCATAATATGAAAATTTTGTATCATTAAAGTCGATTCATACGAATGATTATATTCCATTTAGAAGAAAGTATTTATACGTTCACTTTGCAAATATTAATTTCATTTACAATAAAAATCGTGCCACAAAATTTTCTTGGAACTTCCTTCGTCTAATGAAATTTGTTTTACTGTTTGAACTTAATTTTGTATGCAGAATCATCACACTGTTTTTCTATTTATTACGATTAAATATTTAATTTATAGTATTTATTTATTCATCGGTGTACTACTGAATACATTTCAACCTATAGACATACAGAGAACTCTATAATCATAAACCTCGGTTCGTAATATTCTTTTTTTACATTTTCATATCCAAAATGTTCGGCTTAACTCGTTCTCCCACGACAAAACTAAAAATCCATCAGGAACTCCGGCATACTATTTGTGAAATAATTTACAACTCGTTCCCAGCAAATTCCATGAACCGTAAAGTTTACGAAAGTAGAAATGTAATATCAACAAAATTGATTAAACTTTCAATGAATTCTGCCTCGACCATTCCAGAAGTTTCTAGAAGTTCTGCTTCGCGAAATAATAATTGTAGAGAAATAAATCCAATCAGTCGCAAAAGCCTGCATACGCGTACATCGTAAACACGAAACGGTTTGGAGTACAATTGCGACATTAGGAGTGGGAAAGTTATCATAAAATGAAGGTCCTACATATAGTTCACTTTTATCCTTGTGTAGCCTCTATACTCACTATATTAATTTTGTCCTTGATAATTTACCAAAAAATAAAGGAAAATTCCCCATTCATCTGTACCCACTTTTACTTTCGAACATAAGAATTAATAATAGAAAATTTGTATTTCATTCGAACGTAAAATAATTGATTAGCATTTAATCATTTCTTTCATAATTACGTTCACTATTTCAACTTCGTCCTTAATAATTTACTGTCCTTAATTTATTTAAAAAACAAAAAAATTCCCGATTCATCTGTACCCACCTTCACTTTAAAACATAAGAATGAATAATAGGAAGATAGTATTTATCTTTATTTTAAAAAATAAAAGAAATATAAGAAATCACATTGTTTATGGGATAATGTACTAAAAGGCATTCATATCTTTGTCTATAAAAAATGTTAAAGAATACTTTTCGTCGAAAGAGATGAGATTTCCCGTTCAACAGTGACAACCGGCATCAGATATTGGTTGCGAAGGTTACGCTCGTATGAGCATATGACAAGTCATTTGCAACATATAAGACGATTCAAGACAGTCCGGATCGTTGGTCCCAGAAAAAAGAGTTCGACGATCGTTCGAGTACGGTCATTCGGTAAATTAAGCTAGAGGCCGGCAAAGGGCCATAGTCGCGCGGTCTCAGATGTCCAATCAAAAGACAAGGCCTCTGGAAAAATAATTGAACGCAATTGTTAAATTGTGCATTTCCTGATAACGGTAGATCGGTCATGTCGGAAGCCAGTCTCGCAGACAATTCTGCCGAAATTTCCAGGATACCGTTGCCCCTTGCCCCACGACTACACGGTTACTCATGCTCTGATTATTTCAGGCGAACATTAACTATGATAGCTAAAACGTTCAATTTAACAATTCTTCTGAGACGGAATCAAGTGATTAGAAGCAAAATTACGTTTTGCTTCACAGTCATCGATCGTTTTATTATCATTGTTTCGAACAATTTAGGATATTATTTCAAAGAATTCAAAGAGAAAAGAAATATGCATGTTTTTAATATATAAGTATCGTTCCCTAAATTAATGATAGTAAAATAGAAGAATAAATGTTGCGATGATTTTTAGTGTAATTGAAGACAGATTGCAAGAGACTCGATATCGTTTTTATGGTGACTGTTCCAACATTAAAGAGAAACAACGAAGCCGATAAAATAAGTAGAATTCAGAAGTTGAGCACAAAGTTTCATTCGAAAGAATTTACGCCAACATAAAGAACAACGGACTGTCTTTAAAGCAAAACTTTAAAAAAAAAATGGCTCATATGTAAACCTGTCGTTGACAACAGTACATATAACATTCGTTCTCAAAGGGTTAATTTTACGTCTTGTTATTCAAAAACCACTAGGTCTATGAAAATGGTTTCTAAACTATCTGCCAACTAGTTCCTCGTGGATCAACCACCCCTTTCAATTGAATAATTGCAAGTTAACTGTTGAATCACATGGTACACCAAGTGATCTTAGTTATTACGGTCTAAGCGTAAGATCTGCAGCTGTCGGTAATTGACGCTCCGAACAACAATTAGTTTGCATTCGTTCGTTTAACGTTCGTTTTAATTACAGAAAATCGTTCTCGATAGTAAACGATGGTACGAATGTAAAATATCGTTTAATTCATTGCGGCCTAAACCTTTTTACGTTTTTAACTATATACAGCTTAACAGTCAACCGGAAACTGATAGTTACGTATGCAGTGTTTATTTTCAAAATTTTGTCAAATTTTTCTTTCAAATGGAAGAAAATAAATATTTTATATTATGAATTTTCTTTACCCCATTTTGGGAGGTTAATCACTTTGGCAAATAAACAGTAAATTAATTATTCGTACAGCAGTGAATTTTGACAAAAAGCCTCGCAGAAATTTGTTCATTTTGATTTTTTTAACAAACTGGTAAATAGTACATGCATACTCTTAAAAATGTTGCAATGAATTTGATAAAGAAATATTACTTACCAGTACTTCTTATGGAAATATTTAGAAATATTCAGAAATTGGAAATATGTATAAAATAATAATAAATTGGAATAAGACTGAACTGATCTAATGAAATTACATAATTATATAATTCCGCTATGAATTACGTATTAATTAAAAAAGATGTTCAATACTTTTCAAAACTATGCCGGGAATATTATATAAATCTCATTGAATATTACAAATATAAAATATAAAGAAATATATAAAATAAAATCTGTAACAATTCCGAGCAATAATTTATAAAGTTGCAAAGAAATTATTCATGAATGTGAAAATGTTTCTTGCTGGACCGTTGGACCTTTTAAAATATAATGCGAATATTAAA